CATAGCTCTGTAGTGCTCAGACTTTCTGTAGACTCTCATTCTGTACTGCCACAGTACAGGAACAACTGAGCATGTACCTTTAGAAATGGCATACCCTGGCCGGGCGTGGTGGCTCACACCTGTAATCCTAGCACTCAGGGAGGCCAAGGCAGGTGGATCGCTCAAGGTCAGGAGTTCAAAACCAGCCTGAGCAAGAGCAAGACTCAGACTCTACTAAAATTAGAAAGAAATTAATTGGCCAACTAAAAGTATATAGAAAAAATTAGCTGGGCATGGTGGCGCATGCCTGTAGTCCCAGCTACTCGGGAAGCTGAGGCAGAAGGATTGCTTGAGCAGGTGGTTGCTCTAGGCACCAGGCATAGATCACAGACCGAGATTAGCAAGGATGGGCAAGGCAGCCACAGGGGGCATTTTCCATCCCCAGTTCCTCTAGTCTGCCCCTTGGCGGCTTTGCCTGTCTTAGTTTGAGACAGTGTCTTACTATGTTGCTCAGGCTAGAGTGTGTCGGGGCGTCAGCCTAGCTCACAGCAACCTCAAACTCCTGGGCTCAAGCAGTCCTTCTGTTTCAGCCTCCCGAGTAGCTGGGACTGCAGACATGCGCCACCATGCCCGGCTAATTTTTTCTCTATATATATTTTTTAGTTGGCCAATTAATTTCTTTCTAATTTTAGTAGAGTCTGAGTCTTGCTCTTGCTCAGGCTGGTTTTGAACTCCTGACCTTGAGCGATCCACCTGCCTTGGCCTCCCTGAGTGCTAGGATTACAGGTGTGAGCCACCACGCCCGGCCAGGGTATGCATTTCTAAAGGTACATGCTCAGTTGTTCTGTACTGTGGCAGTACAGAATGAGAGTCTACAGAAAGTCTGAGCACTACAGAGTATGTCCTCCTGTGATCACCATCACTCACAGGAAAAATCTAAAACACTCAATATTGTTACTGCACAGGCAAGGAAAGGTGAGAGAAAGGAGATATCTAGTATTACAGGGATGTGGCTTTGCAACTTACCCAGTGTTCCTGGTGAATCATGTGGAAATGGCTTTCATTGGTTGCCACTTTGTGCTGCCACTGATGCCAGGCTGCAACTCCCAAAATTTGAGGGAAAAGATATAGAGTGAATATAGGGTTGCCTATAGGATTTATTGTCTGTCTTTTCCTAATTTCTTAAGGTGGACTGTCATTTATTTGAGAACTCTCTTCTAATATAGTCATTTAGTCCATAAATGTCCTGTAAGCACTACCGTCAGGATCCCACATTTCTATACAGTGTGCATTATTTCGGGCAAGATAAAATTAGTTTAAGATTGGACTGGAAAATCTCTAGCTTCTTCTAGCGATTTTTAGATATCTCATGTTGACACTTCACCAATTTAAGTGAAGTGGGATTTATTGTGTGCTGTATCGCATCCAACAATTCCCATGACAACACAGAGGGCAGCTGGTTGCTGATGGGTTCTAATTGGCATAAGTGGTTAGGTAAGAACTCTGGCTTGACTATGTTATCACAAGGCATAAAATCCTAGTGGGATCCTCTGACTTGAGGTCTTCTGAAGCTGGGATTCATCACTCAGATATGGTGGCTGCATCTGGAAGTGAATCTTTTTTTTCTTTCTTCTTTCTTCTTCTTTCTTCTTTCTTTCTTTCTTCTTCTTTCTTCTTTCTTTCTTTTTTTTTTTTTTTTTGTTGTTGTTGAGAAAGAGTCTCACTCTGTTGCCCGGGCTAGGGTGCCATGGCTAGCTCACAGCAACCTCAAACTCCGTTGCTCAAGCAATCCTTCTGCCTCAGCTTCCCGAGTAGCTGGGACTACAGGCATGCACTGCCATGCCTGGCTAATTTATATATATGTATATATATTTTTTAGTTGGCCAATTAATTTCTTTCTATTTTTAGTAGGAGACGGGTCTCGCTCTTGCTCAGGCTGGTTTCCAACTCCTGACTTGACAATCTGCCCAACTCGGCCTCCCAGAGTGCTAGGATTACAGGTGTGAGCCACCGCGCCCAGCCTGGAAGTGATTTTGTCATTGTTGTGAATAACAGTCTGGAACCTGTGCCTGGATGTCGACCAATATATGAACCTGCGTTCTCTTTCTCTTGCTACACCATTCCTTTGTCTTTAAGAAACCTCACATGCATATACTCTGTGGAGTCTTATGAGTATTTTCAATTGCATTTGTGACATTTTTTTCAGTTGGTGATGAAGATGGATATTGATAAGACCACTGAACCTAATTTAAATAATAATGGCTAAGGAGTTATTAGGCGAAAGATGGCAGAAGGTGGCAAAAAAATTTTTGTTAACAGGTTGGCTTCTGGGCTATTATGTTTGGGTTGAGACTGCACAAAGTGATATGATGCCCTCACAAACAGGAGGAGGAATGTAAGTGGGACCTGGAGTCTGTAGATCGGGTGGGTGGTGGGGGAATAGATAAATGGATTGCAGAAGAAATTCAAACTGAGGAGAAGTCAGTCAAGAATATGGTAACTTGGCTGTTTCCTCCACCCCCATTCTAGTAAAAGTAAGGCATCAGAGAAGCAGCTAGAGGCTCCCAGAGCTGCAGATTAGCTTGTGATTGACTGTACTACTGTGTCTTTACCTAACTTCATCCCTCCAACCCACCTGATTGATGTCATAATAAAAAAGGAAAAAACATGATATGAGGCATGATTTCTGGATTCTTTGTTGAGCTGTTCTGAGTGGGATTAATGCTGGGGAGAACGGTAAGGATTATTCTGAAGAAAGTAACTATTAATATAAAAGAGATGGCCGGCGCGTGGCTCACGCCTGTAATCCTAGCACTCTGGGAGGCCGAGGCAGGCGGATTGTCGAGGTCAGGAGTTCAAAACCAGCCTGAGCAAGACCCCGTCTCTACAAAATATAGAGAAATTAATGACCTAACTAAAAGTATATATACAAAAAAAATTAGCCGGCATGGTGGCATGCCTGTAGTCCTAGCTACTCGGGAGGCTGAGCAGGAGGATCGCTGAGCCCAGGAGTTTGAGGTGCTGTGAGCTAGGCTGGACGCCACGGCACTCACTCTAGCCTGGGCAACAAAGCGAGACTCTGTCTCAAAAAAAAAAAAAAAAAAAAGAAGGGTGGAAGAATCCTCAGAACAACTGAATTGGATAAAACTGTCTCAAGTGGTTGACTAAAAATGACATTGTAGGCCAGGTGTTGGGGACTGACATTATACTTTCCTGGCTTAAGAATTAAATTTAGCCGCGCGGCGTCACGCCTGTAATCCTAGCACTCTGGAGCCGAGCGGGCGGATTGCTCAAGTCAGGAGTTCAAAACCAGCCTGAGCGAGGACCCCGTCTCTACCATAAAAAAAATAGAAAAAATTAAGCAACTAATTATATAATATAAAAATCAGCCGGGCATGGTGGCTCGTGCCTGTAGTCCCAGCTACTCGGAGCTGAGGCAGGATCGCTGAGCCAGAGTTGAGGTTGGCTGTGAACTAGGATGACGACGGCACTCACTCTAGCCTGGGCAAGAAAGCAAGACTCTGTCTCAAAAAAAAAAAAAAGAAAAAAAAAAAAAAGAATTAAATATAGTGAGTAATGTACGTGCTCTGGCAGAGCATTTGAGAGTAATGTGTTCTGGACAGGTCCCTTGACAAATGAGGTTGCTGCCTAGAGGGATAATAAAGGATCTGAGTTTCTGCACTAAGCAGAACTGCCCAGCCACTGCAGTGCGGGTCTCGAGGCCACACGATAAACACATTGTTCTGTGATACTGCTTAGCCCATAAGATGGCTGTTAGTCAATGACGGGTAAACCCCCATGGAGGGCAACCTAACCACACAGCTGCATGGATCAGTCTAAGAAACTGGGATAAAGATGGGGTGGATGTCTG